GTTAGTCTCAATGAGAAATAGAACATCCAACACTTGTGAAATGAAATACATGTGGAATGAATAAAGTTGAAAACATCAGTGATCTAGATATAGTGCTATTTATTATAGTCCATCTAATACTGTATTTTCCAACAAGCAATTTTCTTTATGAAAATGTGATTCTAGAAACTTTAAGGTTAAGATGGTAGCTGAGAGGCTCCATCAATGCAACTCAGAGAAAGATAGAATAATAAACAATAAATTGTATTTCTGGGAGAGACAATGGGTGAAAAATGACTAAGGCGTATGAGGTCTCTGAGTGAGAATTAGGGAATGAATGCAAGGAAGAATGGTCATAAGTCAGTGCTAACTTACTCCAGCTGAGATCCATGCTAACCACAGGGACATGGTCTTGTGTGCGCTCTCTCTCATCTTTTTCTCTTCTCTCTCTCTGTGTATGTTTCTCTCTGTCTGTCTGTCTCTACACACACACACACACACACACACACACACACACACACACCAGAGCTGCAGAAAGGGTTACCTGGACTAAGCAAGGGCTGGGCGCACTGGCAGTTAACTATGACTGTGCAGGCTGGGGTTGAAGATTCTGATACAAAGATTCTCAACTTGGCCACACTAAGTTCAACAGACACTTCTCAGCTAGAGCATCCAAAGAACTATAGAGGCAAGATGAAAAGCTGGATACACTATGAACGGAGACAGCAGACACTTTTATGATAAAAGCTGAATGAATCAAGTTATTCTCAGAAAAATAAGTATCGTGTTCTCTTTTATTTAGATACATAAAATCATGTGTGTGTATGTAACTGATGTAGGAGCAAAACTACTGAGGAGTACAAGGAGAGCACCAGGAAGAAGAGAGCGGACTGGAACTTAAGAGTCTGCGCTGAACGTACATTATATGCTTGTTTAAATGCCACAAGGATTTGAGTAGTTTATTGTCTCAACATTAACAGCTTGTATGAAACACAAAATTTAAACGTCCTATTACTAACTGATCCATATATTTATGAGAATGGCTTTTATTTGATCTAACAATTCAATAGCTTTTAAAATACAATGCCCTGTTTTCAAATGTTCAGTTCAAACCCATTGACAGTTGAACTTTCTTCATGATTTCATTATGTTAGACAAAGATTGTAAATTAGTACCTTACAGTGACTTCAGATAAACTTTTGTCATCTACACAGGAAAGCAGTGAAGAGGATATGCAAACCGTCTGTCCAGTCCAGCTGGACAATCAAGTGAGACCCTTAGACCCTGTGGAGAGGACTGAGATGCACGAGAAAATAAAAAGGCACAGCAAGTCAAGCAGTCTGATCAAGCTGGCAAAGATTTTATTGTTCACACAGGTTATATACTCTGAAAACAGGATATGGGGAGGGGTAGGAAGGGAAAGAAGGCTTTGCAGGTGGAGGAAGCTAGCTGCAGCTGTGGGGGGGGTCTAACTAGGCTATACCATTACCATTGCCATTACCAGGGGTTCTAAAAACATCTATCTAGCGGGATGTTGGCTAAATCTAAAGATCCAGAGGAAAGGTTACTAAGGTGGGTTGCTATGAGGCCTTGTTTGAAGTTCTGAGAACTGACAAGTGAATCATGGAAGGTAAGCAGAAAGAAGAACAGTAGATAGGAGAGCCAAGGGTGAGTGTTAGCCAAGGGTAAGGCCTTGCTGTGGCTTCCCACACCGTCTGATGATAAAAGGGGTATAAGCAGATGCCTTCGAGGTCTTGTTGTACCAATGGCAATCCCTGCCTCCTCTGTTACATCTTTTTACTGCTTAGCCAAGACACAAAGAAATCACACCAGTCTTTACTAGGTGTACCAGTTTAACTCCCTTTATAAACCCAGGTGCCATGACTCACATCTGTAATCCCAGCATGCAGAGACTTAGGTGGACTGCAATGAGTTCCAGGCCAACTAGGGCTACACAGTTCCACAGCAGCATCAACTACATTAAGGACCATTTCAAAAAAGTGTCCGTCCCCTTAAGAAAAAGCCATCATAAATGCACATATACTGGAGTGGTACACAGAATATGCAATTGCATGGCTACCCTGGACAGAGAGCACATGGCTGGAGGATGTCCATCAGGCATCACTGTCCTTCCAATATCCTTTATAAATAGGAGGCTTCTTTGATTTCTTCAGGTAACCTTAAGACAAAGCATTAGCAGACACAGTTCATTTTTTTTTCTCATCCTCACTGATTCAGAAGTCTATAAGCACTTGACTTTAGCTTGGCAGAGGGTTTCTCTACAATGATTTTTAAAAAAGAATGGACCAAGAAAAATTGTGAAATTGGTTAATTTTAACTATACATATTTTTAAATTCCTTAACCTTCTGCAGAAATTAAAACCATAAAAACCTCAAAGATAAACTAACAGACCTAGAAGGGAGGATGAGTTATATTTTCCTTCCTTTCTTCTGTCTAGGAGGGGTCAGTGTATGTACATACGTATGTATGTATGCATGTATGTATGTACGTATGTATGTATATGTGTGTGTATATATGCATGTGGAAAGATTCTCTTTCTTACACACACACACACACACACACACACACACACAAAACTTCTTTGAGGACTCACCCATATCCTAGGCTAGCCTCTAACTGGGTATGTACCTGAGGATAGCCTTGAATTTGTGATCCTCCTGCCTCTACCTTTAATTTTTTTAAATATCCTGTATTTTTTTTGAAATCAAACACTTAAATGTCATTACCTTTGTTTCTATATGAGAATTTCTTAAAAGATTAGCATAGTAACCAGTTAATAAATATCCTTCAATTAACATTTTATTCACCAAAGCAACTCTACAAGATCACTTAAAATTGACACCTAACTTATTCAAAGCAATTCTTCATTAAAAATAAGACATATGCTGGCCTCATCGTGAACTACTGATGCTGATGCAGTAGAGGCTGTACCATATGTCACAGAAAAAGAAAGCATGCACAATCAGTTCCAGCTAATTAAAATGGCAGGATTTTATTGAACAAAATCATCATTTATTTGTTGTAAGGCATTATGTGCCAATGGTCACTTGTCATTTAATAGTGCAGTAACAATGAAAAATAGACTAAAAGACAAAAACAAAAACCCAGCAATTGGGCCTTGAAGGTAGAAGAGAAAACAAACAAACAAACAAAAACCAAACCATACCCCCCCCCCCAAAAAAACCCTGTAAAGTCAGAGTTACTAAGTTTTCCTTGTTTGTTTAGGATTTTTTTTAAAGGCAAGGAAAATGGAAATGGCATGATTATAAAACTATTATGATAACGTATTATAAAACTAATATGACCGTATTTAACTAAAAAACACTGCCTCCTCCCAAAGGGAATGTGTTCCTGAGATGCCTGAGGTCCCCACTGGCTCTCATCAGAATGCAGGAGTTTTCAAATAACTGCCTCAAGTCACACGAAAACCTAAGTAAGGACCTCCTGGTCTCAGCTTTACCCACAGGTAACTCCTGACACAACTATATGTGCCTGGAAAACCAGGTATACACATCCATCCACTGAAGAGATAAGCCAGTGTGTTTACCTTTCTTGGTTTCTCCAGTACTTATCTGTGAGCACTCTGGCCCCTACAGCCACCCTCCTGGTCAGCATCATCAGAATCCAAGAGAACCTCATATTGTGCATTGCCAGCCTAGGGGAAGATCAAGCTTCAAAGTGCAGTTTCTGAGATGCTTGTCACTTTTTCACTACTATAAAGCCAAAAACTCATCAGCCAGGGACTATCTGTATTGACTTTCAGGGCTTCAAAAATAAGACCACAATGATAACTTATGGGAAATTAGGGTTTTATAATACATCTGGACACGAACACAAAATACATTAAAAGATATACTCTTTAAAGCATTCTACATACACTTGTCTATGAACAAAAACAAAACCTGATACAAAGTTTGAAAAATAAAAGTCATACTACAAAAATAAAATTTTAAAATTCTGGAATATCTTTATTAAACAGAACTATCAGAATTTCTGCCTGGTTTTCTTCTTCTTCTTCTTCTTTTTTTTTTATGTAGTTCTGGCTGTCCTGGAACTCACTCTGTAGACCAGGCTGGCCTCAAACTCAGAAAGCTGCCTGCCTCTGCCTCCCAAGTGCTGGGATTAAAGGCGTGCGCCACCACCGCCAGGCCTCTGCCTGGTTTTCAATACCCAACTCTATATCTTCGCCAAACTAGACTTGAATGTAAAGATGAACTTGTCTTACCAATCAGCATCACGAAGTCCATCTTCATTACGATTCTTTCAAGAGCCTATCAGAGACGGGCCCAGCTCATCTACCCAATCACAGGTTGCTGGCAAGAGATGAACGCTTGTCTCCTGTAGAAACCAGCCTGTGCTGCCTATCATGACAGCAACACCCTAGGACCTTTCTTCTTAAGGCTAATTTCCAAATCCCTAGATAACTGATTTGATCATGTTTGATTTTTCTTGACTCAAGGTTTAGATAAAACAGTTGTAAAAATTCACAAGGCAGTATTCTAAGGTCCTTATTTCAACCATGATCTGAAAATACATCCAGATATTAAGAAAGAAAAACATTATATTAATGTGATATAATTGACTATTGGTGACTAACAGGAACAAAGCTGCCCTCTCATTCTGGAATTGAATGAAGACTGGTTATTATAATTAGCAATAAATTACTGAGATGTACACCATTCTTTCTCTGTAGATAGTGTTGCATGAATGTCTTTTTCAGGTTTCCTTATTAATATTCTAAGTGCAGTAAAATACTTCTAAAGATAACATAAAATTGTTTATGCTGTGTATGCCTTTGAGTTTAGATGTGTGCTTGTCTTTGCAAACTAAAAATGGGGCGTCTTTGGCCAAAAAGTATAAAGAAAGAACAAACCTAGGAGATGAGAGATCAACAATGTGACTTTTTATGTTCTTAAAAAAAGTTACCCCTGGATTTACATGTGAAAATGCAAGAGTATCAACACTTCATAAAAACGTTTGAATTAGAAACGAGAACAGATTATGACATGGAGGAAAATTTCATCTTTATTAACACTGAAGATATTCATCCCTAAATAAAATAATAACAACAGAACATAATTCAAAAGCACAGATGTTATAAATTCTTCCTGGGAAGTTTATGGATTCTATCCTTAGCTTCTAGCACAGGTGAACATGAATCCTAAGTAGAAAGATGTCATGTCCAGCACCACAGCAGTATCACAGCTTATTAGCAGAATAATGTAGAAAATGGTCAGGTAAACAAATAGTATACAACAAAGTGCAATGGAAATAAAATTGACTAAGGCAAGATGAATAAGCTTTACAACATTGGGAAAGAGGTGAGCTGGGAAACCAGCTGTAAACATTTACATTTCCTATTATCCCCAATCCAAACAATCACACAAGCCATCTTTTGTGACTAACCAGAATTAAAAGACCTGTGTCAGGTGGCCCCGCTGATTTCTCCATGATGATTAGCTGCTGGTTCTAAAATCTCATTCATTCTCAAAACGTCGTCATAGAGCAAATAGCTCTGCAGACTCCTGGGAAGTGGTAACTGGTGGACGAAAATGTCAGAATGAAGGTGCTCTGCTTTCAGACTGGCCCGGATTCCCAGACGACAAAGATGGCTTAGGCTTGGAACAGAGGCTGGAGAAACAAACAAACATAATTTTGATTAACAGTGGACTGAATAAATGGCTGGGTAAGAAAGAGTTCTTGCTAATCCCAGCACTTGGGAGGCAGAGGCAGGTGGATTTCTGAGTTCAAGGCCAGCCTGGTCTACAGAGTGAGTTCCAGGACAGCCAGGGCTACACAGAAAAACCCTGTCTTGAAAAACCAAAAAAAAAAAAAAGAAAAGAAAAGAAAAGAAAGAAAGAAAGAAAGAGCTCTTGCTGTGAAAGCATGACGCACAACCTGAGTTTGAACTTCAGAAACCACAGAAAAATCACAGTGGCAGTCAGCACCTCTGACCCAGCACTATAATGACAAAGACAGGGGCATCAGTGTGGCTCGATGGCTACCAATCTACCTCCAGATTCAGTGAGAATCCCTGTATTAAAGCAGAGTGATTCGCTAACATCCTCCTGTGGCCCCCAACATGTACACACTATCATGAATGCAAACATGCATACATACACACAAGCAACACATTAAGATAAGCAACCAATCCATGTCTATACAATAAAAGAGAAACACTGCATTGCTTAGTCTTGTTTTGAAAGAAGACCACTGGGTCAGCATGGCTGCATGGACCCGGGTCAGCATGGCTGCATGAACCTGGTACTTACTTTTTCCACTTGGTTGCTCTCACTTCAGTTGGTCACATGCTCAACTCAGCATCCAGAGCCAGAAAAAATAAATGTTTAAACTCTAAGACAACACTACCTAACACTTAAGAAAACCCCGGACAGAAATTGCTACTGCCCTCTTAGTCTGTTTTGTTACAAAAGGTCTCTGAACCTAACACATCAAGCAAATGGATGTGCAGCCTGACATCTTCTTTGTATCTATGATATAAAATAAAAGTTTCAAGGTCTGGGAGGATAGCTCAGAAGTTTGTAATGCTAGCTGTTCTTCCAAAGGATCCAGGTTCAATTTGTAGCACCTACATGGTGGCTCACAACTGCCTGTAACTCCAGTCTCAGGGGATCCAATGCCCTCTTTTGACGTTAATGGGCACCAGATATGCATGTGGTGTACAGAAATACATACATGAAAAAATCCACACAAAATTAAAAAAGATTTTTTTTTTAAGAATGAAATTTCAAAATTGGCACAGAAACAGAACATCCACTGAGTGTCCTTTATGCTACACGCCCACCACATATTCTAGTTCTGTATTATTTATTCCAGACTACAAAATACATATACATATACAATTTTTGTTTGTTTCTTTGGGTTTCCTAAGGCCATGTTGTACCTACCACTGATCTGCCCCAGACTCGGATTTATTACCGTGTTTTAGGACATATGGAGGTTTAAAAACAAGTTTCAGCAACATTTCAAACATCACAAAACAATCTAACTGGCAGGGCCAGGGTTCAAATTCAGATCCATTTGAGCCCAGCGACTCTAAGGGTGGGCAAGTATCTGCTGTAGCAATGGGAAGAAGCAGATCCTCAAGGAGTAATCCACGGACCTGTAACTGAGGATCACCAGATGACAGCAGCATCAATCTCTAAAATGAGAGTGTTAGCTGAAGAGGCTAATGTCTGCACAGAACAGAACAGCTAATGCTTTTATGCAACTCAAACCTTTGTTAGTAGAGAAATTTCGAAATCCCTGAGAAATGTAGCAATGACAAAGAAGCTAGAGCAGAAGCATCAACTCAAGTACCATGGGGAGCAGATCTGGGGCCGATCATACTGCTGTCTACACCCCCAGTCCACAGGAGCTATAGCAAGCTCATTTTCTGTTTTTTGTTTTGTTTTGTTTTTGTTTTGGATTAAAGGCGTGTGCCACCACCGCCCGGCGCAAGCTCATTTTCTAACATTCCAAATTCACGATACCAAAACAAGTGAAGTTACCTCAGTATCTTAAATTTTAGTTTCTGTTTAGTTTACTAAGAGTTTTAAAAACAACTGTCATTAGGAAAAAGTGAGAACAGGAGAATGGAAAGTAACCTGAAACACGGTACAGTAATGATGTGATATAAATGGTGGTAAAGTCCCAGATGAATACTACCAATGTGTGACAGTAATTAATACACAGAGCCAGAGAGACGCTGTTGAGTACAGTTTTGAAACTTGGTATGAATCAGATAGGGTATGCATGTAGAGTTGTGGAAATTATACTGTAAGTATAGGACATACATATGACCTTGTGGTACCATAAGAACTGACATCCACAAGTATAATGTAACATCTAGGTAAGAATGGTGAGGATTTTGAAAACAAACTTAAAAGTTTAAATGCTTTTGCTTACCTAACAATATTTATCACTTAGAAACTATAGTAGATGACTGATAGTACTGGGGAAAACTAGTTATCTAATGAAAGACCCCTCCGGGGGTGACCCAGGAAAGACGCGACTCTCAAAGACACTCCAGAAACCTCTTGCTGTAATAACATAAGTCAGGTTTAATATACGAAGCTTCGGATTGACATGCCCCACGCAGGAGGCAGGGGCCATCGACCCTGAGATCTAACAGCTCAGGGTTTTTATAGATAAAGGCTGGGGGGAGGGAGAGGGTTGTGGGTAATCACACACAATTGGTTGTTATAAATGTCTATAATATGTGTAAGCAGATCTCAGGCAGAGGTATGACAAATCTCATGAGAATAGTCTCGGGTCCCTGTGGCCTTGGGACCCAGTGTGAATGTTTTTCTGAGCCAACAGACCATCTGGCTGAATCTAATTTACAAGTCTTTGGGACCTCTGGTGGGAGTTTCTCCAGAGGAGGTGAAGTCAGACACCACGGGGAACATTCAATTGACCTTTGTTTCTCTGCTCTGCATCCCCTGTAATGGCCTTGGGTTAGCAAGCTAGCTGACCTGTAATTTTAACTATTTGTATTCTTGTTTTATTATTTAACTAACTTAAAACTAACTTAAAAAATATCTCTTCACTAACACTGTTGAAGATGTAATGAAAAGAAAACACCTAAAGCCAATAACTAACTGGAATTAATTACCTTGTTAATATATTTGGTATTTAGAAAATCTATAGGGAATAAATTCAAATAAAACATTATCGCATCTCAAATACATGATTTTATTTTCCTTACTTCCTTAAGTGTAAATTTTCTATTCAGACAGTATACATTTTATATAATGAATATTTTACATAACTGAACACTATGTAATGTTAGATAAGTATATAAATGTGTGTGTGTGAGTGTGTGTGTGTGTATGTGTGAGTGTGTGTGTATGTGTGTGTGTATGTGTGAGTGTGTGTGTGAGTGTGTGTGTATGTGTGTGTGTATGTGTGTGTGTATGTGTGTGTGTATGTGTGAGTGTGTGTGTGTGTATGTGTGAGTGTGTGTGTATATGTGTGTGTGTGTATGTGTGAGTGTGTGTGTGGGTGAGTGTGTGTGTATGGATGGGTGAGTGTGTGTGTGTATGTGTGTGTGTGTGTATGTGTGTGTATGTGTGTGTGTATGTGTGTGTATGTGTGTGAGTGTGTGTGTGAGTGTGTGTATGTGTGAGTGTGTGTATGTGTGTGTGTGTGTGTGTATGCATTTTGAAGTCATCACTTGGATCTAGCTAACAACAGTTATATTGCTGCAATGCGGTGTCAGGGAGGCAAATCCCTGAGGCCCCTCCTAACACGCGCAGACTAGTCCAGTTGACTGTACTAACAGGTGGCTGAGCTTCCACACACAATGTGCACAACCATGACTAGACGTGCTGGGAAGGCAAGGCTCTGATGACATCATCTGACAAGGCTGCTGACACTTCAAGAAACTTTAAAGCTGTGAACTTGGGTTACTTGTAGAAATTTGGGTGCTCAAAGGCAGCTAAATCCCCGGGAAGTTTTCTGATAAAATTACATGTCTATACCAGTGCAGTTTTATTGGAGTTGATGATTTATCCCTTATGTAACTTTTGGGAGGGAAAGGAGGGGCCTTGGGAGGAGGTACTGAAGGGTAGTGAGCCCTGTTAGCTTCAGGAACCGTCCCTCCTATTAACATCCCCTGCTAGAAGGGGGTTTCCTGAAGTGTCAACAGCTCTAATTAAAGAAGGCAATTTTCACGTCAACACTTTCATGTCAAAGACACAAGAATATAGTCCATGATGCAAATCCAAAAGAAAATATTCCATGATAATGTCACTAACTTTTCATCAGCCCCAAACTGCAATTGTTTTACATTTCACTCCTCTTTCCATTTCTTCTTTTAACGAGACTCTCAACAAATTAGTCAGGGTAGGTAGGATACAGGCACCAAGTTGACGCTGAGGACAGTAAAGCCTGCCAAAGAGTAAACTGGAATTCATACAGTGGGAAGGCAGAATGCTGATGGCTGAGGTTCATCTATACAGAGAATGTGGCAATATTAGTGATGAGAGATCTCTTATGTAAACAACTTGAACAACCAAACAGTTATAATCAGAGCAGTAGGAGCCACATTTATGTTGAAGAGATAGGTTCCACTATAAAAAAAGGCTAGGATGAGTCTCCCAGTCTGGACTAAATTGATACATATTTGTATGGACTTATAGTTCTGAATACTATCAGTTCTGTTTTGACATATTGTTAGTATTCTGTCTAAACTCCACTTCCACAGTTATCTGGCAACAGCCAGGTATGCTCCTCCTCACAGTTACCTGGCAACAGCCAGGTAGGCCTGCCCACTATAAAAGGAACTGCTTGCCCCCTCCTCTCTCTCTTACTCTCTTCATCCCTCACCTGCAGGTTCTCTGCCCCCTCTCCCCTCCCCCTTCTCTGCCCCCCTCTCTCCACATGGTCATGGCTGGGCTCTACTCCTCTACCTCTCTGCTCTCTCTCTCCTCTTGCTCTCTTCCCTCCACCCTAAATAAACCCCACCTCGTGGAATCGTTTGGTCTGGCGTTATTCTGTCTAAGCTACTCGCAAAAATCTAACATATATGCCTTATTAAAAACTATTGTGGCTGGATGGTGGTGGTGCACACCTTTAATCCCAGCATTTGGGAGGCAGAGGCAGGCGGATTTCTGAGTTCCAGAGTT